TGTCATCGCAGACGTGCAAAATGTCATAGATGTAGATTCATGAAAAAAGATTGTCGGGCATGCGCTTAGACGATCAGGTTAGCCGGTGAACCCCTTCCTCGTAATGCTGGTTTGGCGAATGAAAACCTCTTGGATGCAGAGAGCAGTGTTCGATATCTCGAGATAACTACAGATGTGTAATTTCTTACTAGGTTTTAGATTACTTGCCGCGTTTACGAGAAAATAATATGAGCTGAATGGGTCATTGAAGAAGTACATGGACCAAATTTAGATACATGCAAAGATACATCCGACGGGGTCCTTTGTCCATGTGGTCACTGGGTGGGGCGTAAGTCCATAAGGTGTGGTGAGAGCATGAAGACTCCTTATCTAGCAGGACGAACATACGAATTGCCGTATGGGTTGAAAAGAAAAAGAAAAAAATAAAGAGTATGAACACTGATTTGTTCAATATGGATCTTATATGTGTGGTGTTTCGGATGTGCGAACATCCAAGAAGTCACCTGAATATATTGCGTGAGATAATTGCGCGCGGAAAGTGTGAGCTGATTGCATAATAACGTAAAATCGGTCATTTCTGTAATTAGAAGTAACAAATGCAACTCTTAGTAGTTAATTATTTCCTTCTCAAGCTTAACAAATTAATGAAAGCTATTTAAAAATCCTCCAATGTTTGTGACGGTATACATGAAAACTCATCGCCAAGTGTCGAGTTCATATATGACATAGTCGAATAGTATTTGTGTTTTTGACCAAAATATGCAAAGTAAGATATTTATTTAGCGGACAGTTTTCAATGCACATGCTGATCTGGTTCGTGGTTCTAGAATCACGGAAGCATGTTCCTGATTGTTTTCAATATGGCAGACCATTTATATACATTGACGATTTAAAGGTTGCCTATCGACATAAACAGACAGATCGCAGCATGGCGCTCGAGCTCACGAGCGCATGGCACGTCACCCTTCCTTGGCAGGAATGTTTCATTGTAGTTGTTGTCGACGATCATCAGAATGAAATAAGAATAGACGTTCCGAGCTAAATGTGTCCAAAATAGTTAAGGATCTGGGCATAGCATATTATAATGGTCTTAGTCTGTCAAATCACTGCGACCTAACTGTCTCCAAAGCACGCCAAACTACCGGATTTTTGCTCCGCAATTTCAAAACGATCAGAGTTAAAACCAGCTTTTATAATATGTTCGTAAGACCTAGTTTGGAATACTGCTCGTTTCTATTAAGCATTCTGCCCGCTAGTGAACAGAAGAAAATAGAACTGGCCCAGCATGGGTTTACTAAAATACTTTTTTTCTTCAGAAAACCTTAACGGGCCCTGCCAACACTGTTATAAAATTACTAACCTCAATCCCTTGTGGCTCTGCAGATTCCAGAAAAGACTATTTTAATGTTTAAACTTTCAAACGGCCGTAAAATTTATCCCCTTGGTACTCTGAGGCAGGTCCACCAGTCTCGGTGCACTGGTCATCTGGATGCGTTTCTTGATTCTTCCTATAGCACGCAGAGTTTGATATAGCGAGACCACCACAAATGTGTATATTTTTACTAGGTCTACGATTACTCGAGACGTTGTCTGAGCACAAACAACTGAACTTGGTCGATCATTGGAAAATTACATGCGCCAAATTTTTAGACATGGAAATACTTTGAGACAAGTACTTAAGTCGATGTGATCACTGGGTGGGGCTCAAGTTCGTGGTAGCTCTATGGGCGAAAGAGCGAATTGCAGAGTGCGGTTAAGATGAAAAAGAGAAAAAAAGAAGACGTATGAACTAAAACTTGTTTCAATGTCAATCTTATATGTCTGGTATTTCGAGTGTGCGAGCATCCAAGAAAACAGGTGAAAACATTCGGTGAGATGCTTTCACGTGGAACATGTCAACTGATTGGAGAATACCGTAGTGAATAGTTAAAAAATATATCAACTTGTCATCGACTGAGTAAGCTCTACATTGCCAGGCCGTAATCAATCCTCCGATTGACCATTTTTGGGATAAAATGTAGCCAATGCAGCTGCGAATGGGTACTACCTCGGTCCTCAAACCAAATAATTTGATGTAAGCCATTAAAAATGCATCAATGTTTGCGAAGTAATACATGAAAACTTACAGGCAAGTGTCGTGTTCATACCTGACTTGCATAAAAACAATTAGAGAGTACTAGATTTGCCTACTAGATAAGTCAGTTATTTGCTACGTGATCTGAAAACAGCAGAATGGAACTTGCATGTCATCACAACCGAGCAGGGTAGGATGTGATAGATTCTGATGCATGAAAAAGATTAGCACGCATGCCCTTAGACGATCAGATTAATGGGTAAACTCCAGCCTCGTATGGGTGGTTCAGCGAATGAAGCCCTCTTGGGTGCCGAAAGCAGTGTTCGATATCGCGAGACTACTACAGGTGTGCATTTTATTACTAGGTTTAAGATTACTACTCGCATGGAATGCGAACGTAAGATGAGCTTTGTGGGTCATTGAAAAAGAACATGGGCCAAATTCAGAGACACAACAACACATTTTGAGGCAAGACACAACATTTTTCAGACAAGTTCGCCAATCGATGTGGTCAATGGGTGGGCCGCAAGTACATAAGGCGTGGTCAGAACATGCAGCCTCCTTAGCTAGTAGGCATACTCAGCTCTCGAGGGCGAAAATGCGACTTGCAGTATGCGGTTGAGAAGAAAAAAATAAGGAGTCTGAAAAAAGAAAGACTTATAGAATACGATTCCTATGTGTCTGGCGCTTCGAGAGTGTGGGCATCCAAGAAAACAGGTGAACAAATGTGGTGAGATGCATACGCGCAAAAAATGCGAGCGGCTCCCTAAATACACAAGTGGATAGTTAGAAACTATATCGAATTGCCATCGACTGACTTAGCTCAACGTTGCCAGGCTTTTACTAACACTCTAGTCGGAAATTTCTGTAATAAAAGGTAACCAGTGCAAGTTAAATAATTTACTGTAAGCCATTCAAATTCCACAATTCTTTTTGACTTAAAAACGCGCCGCAAATTAGCAGGTTCATACCTGACTCCCGAAATATGCACGGCAACAAGCAGAGAGCACTTGATTTACGTATTACGTTAACGAGGTGTTAGGTAATTCAATTATTTGCTAAGTGATCTGAAAACAGCAGAATGCACCTGCTATTTCATTGCAACCTTGCAAGGTAGGATGGGGTAGATTTAAGCGCATGACAGTTATTGACAGGCAGGCGCTCAGACGACCAAGATATTGAGTGAACCTCCACCCCGCAAGGCTTTTACGGAGAATGAAACCCTCTTCCCAGCCGAGAGCAGTGAACTCTATCGATGCGGATATTATCGCACGCGGATTAAAGGAGCGGCATATAACGAAAGCCAGGAGCCAGAGTGTTTTGGTACGCAGCGTTTAATAACAGACAAAGTTCCTTTGGACATTAACCTACTTTTTATTTTCGACATTTTGCGTCTTCAATTTACTTATCTGAAATATTTTCCTAGTAACCAGCATTTTGTGCCGCAGGTCAATTGACTGAATAAAATAAACAAAATCAAATGGATGTTAAAGCCTCCACTTATATTTTTATCTTCACAATTCATCAGTTAGACCACCTACTGTAATTGAATAATCTTAAATTGAGTGAAAAAACAACAACTTTAGTTCGCTGTATTTGCCGACTTTTACTAGTCAAGAAGCTCGCAGGCGAGTTTGGGAGTTCCTGCAGTAATTTTGGGTTGCCCTAGCAATTTAATTTTTATAAATAAAACGAACTTACGCAGTTAATCCCATCGAAAATGTCTGCCTTAAAGCTGCAACATATAGGATCGTGAAGAAATCATGAATGGTGTACAACAAAATGAAGCAGGCCTTCCCGTAACTTCGACTTAAATCTCAATTTTAAATGACTATGGCTTCGAATTGATTAACACGGGACTTTTAAACAGTGATGAATTGTCTTTTCGTAAGCACCACCAGTCTCTGTAACAGTCGTGAAGTGCATGACCGCCAGTTTGCGAAAATCGGTCTGTATTCTCTAAGCTTCGAAAGGCATTCATCTTGGTCGATGTTTCCGATTTATGTTTTGCAGATGCTGTTCATTAATCTGGGTTAAGCAGTCAGTGCGCTGTACGAAAGCAGGGTCTAAACTTGGACTTCTTTCAAATCGGTGCTAGCGCTGTGCGCCAAAGACCTTCTTGCGGCATTTTTATGAATAATTAACTTCTGCAAATATTCCCATT